CTGTCTAAGGTGCTGGTCTCAGTCCCTGGCAGTGGACTCTGCCTGTCTAAGGTGCTGGTCTCAGTCCCTGGCAGTGGACTCTGCCTGTCTAAGGTACCAGTCACAGCGCCAGGCAGCCGACTCTCACACTGGGCTTTCCACAAAGCTTCCTGAAGTTTGATTAGCTTGAATGGTAAGGAACCTATTTACCACTTTCACCTATTATAAAGGATAATAAAGGGTTCGGATGCCTAGGACCCTCCAGGACCCTCTACCTGCTAAGCCTTCCGGGCACCTAGCATACTGGAACCTGCTTCTGTGGTTTCTACGGAGGCTTTGTACACAGACATGACTCATTATACCACTGGCAATGGGAGATCATCTCTCCTTCCCAGAGGTTGAGGGATGGAGCTGAAGACCCAGTCCTCTGGTCCTGTTTTAGTCTTTCTAGTGGCCAGCACTACCCTGAAGTTTCCTAGTGACAGCTGGCCCTTAGTCATAGCATAGAAAATACCACTTTTGGGCTGAGAAGGTGGCTCAGTGGTAGAGCGCTTGCCTTGCACGCATGAGGCCCTGGGTTCGATTCCTCAGCACCACATAAGCAAAAAGAAAAAAGCGGAAGTGGTGCTGTGGCTCAAGTGGTAGAGCGCTAGCCTTGAGCTGAAGAGCTGAGGGACAGCGCCCAGGCCCAGAGTTCAGGCACCACGACCGGACCCAAAAAAGAAAAAAATTAAAGAAAATACCACTTTGAAGATTCTGAAGATCTTAGGATGTGTATGTTTTGCAGTGTCACATACCCCATTTGTTCAGGAAGACCTTGGTGTGTGTAGACGAGCCCTGCCATCCACTGTGCTGCCCTGGCACGGCCAGGCCGCCGGCACTCCCTGGGTAGCTGCAGGGGCCGGAGGCAGTGGTAGCTCAGCTCCCTCTCACCCAGTTCACGCTGTCAAGGTGTCAAGGCCTGAACACCAGCTTTCTAGGAGGCCCATGCTGACACTGTGGTGGACATGGGGTTTAGATGAAGTCCTGTTGTGTTTGGAATCATGGGGCTCCACACTGTATCTTTGTTAGCTTTTTGAATCTTGGCCTTTGTTGCACATCTGGACACAGGAACACAGTGCCTGGTGTCCAGGGCTCTGGCTGGTGTTCCACACAGTTGCGTCTGGTGGGCAGAGTGACCCTCTGTGGCCCTGGGGCTCTTGACGCCGCCCACACCATAGTGCGTCAGGGTGGAGCACATCTCTCCTTCCTCTCACCCCCGTGCCCCGGGTGGCAAGCTGCTGGTGTCTGCCAGCCCACGAGTCCCCAGAACTAAGGGAGCGCTTTGATCTGGAAGTCAGAGCTTGGGCTTGCTGTTCCAACTGTGCACCTTTCTGGAGGAGGTAGGAGAGCTCGGCTTCCTGTTGGGTGGGCATGGCCACTGGCCTGCTCAGCCAGAGGGTGAGACTCCATACAAGGAAAAGTAGCCTGATTAGTGTCCTACCAGAGTCCTCAAGGGCTGGGCATTGGTGGCTTCCTACCTGTCATCCTCACTATTCTGGAGGCCAAGATCTGAGGATCGTGGTTTGAAGCTAGCACAGGCAGGAAAGTCCATGAGACTCTTTTCTCCAGTTAAACATGGAACAAGCCTGAAGTGGAACTGTGAATTAAGTGGTAGAGCATTAGCCATGGGCAAAAAAGTTCAGAGACAGCATCCAAGCCCTGAGTTCAAGCCCCAAGACTGGCACCAAAAAAAAAAGTCCTTGAGGAAAGGGGGGGGGGCTCATTCATGTCCAGAGCTGGCTCACGCCTCCTCCCCTCCATACACTAGGACTGCAACATGTCCACTGATCTCTTAGGCCACATTCACCCTCTGCTCTCTCACAGGCCTTGGGCTGCATCTTGTACCTGCTATGTTTCCAGCAGCATCCTTTTGAGGATGGAGCAAAACTTCGGATAGTCAATGGGAAGTACTCAATCCCTGTGAACGACACTCGATACACAGTCTTCCATGATCTCATTCGTAAGTTCCTATTTGCGTTTGCTTGATACAGGGAGCTAGGGGATGAGCCTCCCTGTGGCTTTGAGCTTCCCCAGGGCCCACCGTCATGATGCTCTAACAGCATCCCTGTGGGACTTCTTCCACGAAACCCACCTGCCCTTGTTTTGTTGAGCTTATGGTGCTTTGAACAGCCATTTCTGATCATTTTGTTCCGTTGTATGATTGTTCTCTTCCATCAATCTCTCTCCCAGTTCTGAAGTCATCACTTGTAAAGTGAGTGGCCTTGAGTCTTGAGCAAGAGCAGGTAGTGCTCTGGGCCAGGCTCAAGGCTCTGGACAGTATGGATGAGTGCTGCTGTGTTCTTCCTCAGGCTCCATGCTGAAGGTCAACCCGGAAGAGCGATTGTCCATCGCTGAGGTAGTGCGCCAGCTGCAGGAGATTGCCACGACCAGGAACGTGAATCCCAAAGCCCCCATCACAGAGGTGAGGGTGACCTCAGGGTGTCACCCATTGTGTGTTCTTTTTTTTTTTTTTTCGGTCTGGTCATGGGGCCTGAACTCTGGGCTAGGGCGCTGTCCCTCAGCTCTTCAGCTCAAGACAAGCACTCTACTGCCTGAGCCACAGTGCTACTTCTGGCTTTTTTCTGCTTATGTGGTGTTGAGGAATCAAACCCAGGGCCTCATGCATGCGAGGCAATCGCTCTACCTCTGAGCCACCTTCCCAGCCCCATTGTGTGTTCTTAAGGTTACCCTGAAGGGCCTGTTCTCAGGGTTGAATCACAGACCCTTGAGAGCTCACAGCTATCATACTGGGTACTCTCTGGGTCCTGACTCAAGTGTCTGACATCAATGAGTCCAAGGTCTCTCCCACCTGGCAGCTCTTGTTCAGGTTCCAATAGTGTGTGTGTTCTTTCTTCATCTCAGAGTTGCTGGAATCAGGTGTCTGGTCATCGTTTCCCAGTCTCCTGGCCATGTTCATCTCCAAGCTCTACCCACAGGGATCTCACGCACACAGCTGCCAGCTCTACTTTGTCTGGTGGCTGTTGCGCTGAGACCCCCACACGCTGCCTGCTTGGGGAGAGCAGGCAGGCCAGGAAGGTAAAGGTGCTGCAGCCTGGGACAGTTCAGTAGCCAAGCCCAGCCAGCACCCCTGGGGAAGGAATGGGGGTTGATTGTTTGGGAATCGACATTGCTATGTACAGCACAAGGCTCAGGCCAGACCCTGCTGTCTTCCCCTCTGGCCCTGCCTCTGTCTCTGCTGAGAGGAGGTCCTTCTTAGACCACTGTGCAGAGACAGGAACTCTGGTTCCTCTTTTGTCTGCTTCCTGGCTGTCAGATCCTCTCACCAGCCGCTCTCCCACTCCTGAACTAGAAAGAGAACTTCCCAGGAGCCATTGCCTGTTACTCTTGAGACCGTGAGGATTAGGGTACAGGACTGTGGACATTGCTTTTTGTTCAGGATATCAGGGAAGAGGGGCTGCTGCTGATAGGGATGCCCAGTGTGTTCTGGTCCTAGTAATGCTCATTATCCTCTGGGAGCCATCCACCTCCCCAAACAGCATTGTTCCACGCCTAGTTTGCCAGCACATGCACACTTCGTGTGAGGGTCTGGTGAAGGAGCCCAGCCCAGCGTCTCAGCTCTCACCCTTCAGGGTTCATGCGCTACATCTGCTCACAGATGGCACAAATCAGAAAGAAGCGGAAGAGGAGTTGAGTCTGTGACCCACAGACTTAAAGGAGGGGTTACAGTAGGACCCGGAAGAGGAGTTGAGTCTGTGACCCACAGACTTAAGGACCTGGGTGGGGGTTGTGGCTAGCTGCTGCTTCCTGGTTATCCTGAATGTCGGTTAAGAGTTGTGTTTGTGAAGTATGATGTGCCCTCCATCTGGATTCCTTGTACATTATAGCAAAACAGGTAGAGAGGTGAGTGATCTGGCCCATAGCTAGTGCTTTCAGACTGAGAGCACCAGCAGAGGGTGGGTGTAAACCAGTTCCAGTCTTAGAGAATTCACTGTGTTCTCAACTCTTACAGTTGCTGGAGCAGAACGGAGGCTACGGGAACCCAGGGTCATCTCGAGCTCCACCTCCTCCCGGAGGCCCCACAAACAGCAGCTACAGTGGAGGTGAATGCCCTGACCCGCCTACAGACCACCCCACAGGAATGTCCCCTTTCTTGACACAGGCCAGGCACCCAGCCTGCATGGAGGAGGACCCCTGGGTTTGTAGCCTGGTAGCAGAAGGCACACTGCAAGGGTGGGGTCTGGGCTCCACCCTCCTGTGGGAACCGCATCTCAGGTGGGCCCATGCTCTCTGGGAAGGACCAAGTCAGGGAGGGACGGAGCACCAGAACCGGGGCCAGAAGAGCCCTGGGTTGTGTCCCATAGAAGTTCATGTGGGGCCTCAGGAGCAGGAGCCAACCTGCCTTCCATTTAGTGTTAAACAGGGATCCGTCTCTTGGATACAACTGACCTCAGGCTAACAGCCCCTCCCGAAGTCAGGCTGCAGCCCAGAACTAGAAGTGGTGCCACAGCCTGCACAGTTTGTACCATCCACTTCGGAGAGAAATGACTCTTCTCCAGGTGGAGCATGTCCCAGGAACTCTCCCAGTGCGGGATAGAGCACCAGATCTCTCTGGGGCAAGGTTGTTAGCATCTGTGCCTGAATCTACAAAACAGTAGCTACTGTCTGACAGGGCTGCAGACAGGAGCACCGTCTTCCACCTTGTGCAGAGTGGGTACCGAAGGGCTCGGCACCTCCAGAGGCCGTGGCTGTGGGCGTGAGAAGGGTCCTAGTGTAGGTATGTGGCCATACTGAGCATGGACCAAGACCGCTCCTCATCCCTTATTTGGAGGTGTCAGGGGTTCTGGGTCCTTTCTCAAAATCTTTACTTTCTGGGAAGAGGGTTCTGTCCCTGCATCTGGCCAGAGCCGTGGGCACCTCTGGTCAAACTCGGTGTGCCCAACCATGGCGCAGTGCCTGGCATGCTTCCCCTGGCTGTGGAGTGAGTTGGTTCTTTGATGCCTAGTCCTGCATCATGCTATGTGAGCATGGTGTAGCTACGCAGAGACTGACCCAAATCCATCTCCTGCCACAGCCCCTTAGGGTGCTGCTTCAGGTCCTGGGGTCTCAGACTCACTTTCATTTGTCTCTCTTTATATTCATGGCCAAGGCAGTGTGGTGTGTAGTTACCATTGTGAGGCTGTGTCTCCCACAAGTAGGTAGAGCTCCCTCAGGCAGCCGAGAACAGGACCGCATGGTATTCTTTGCTGCATTGATTCCTGAGGCTGGGGGCCACAGTCGCACCAGCCTGTGTAACGCAGGGCCTGCTGAGGGGCGAGAGGATCGGTCCCCTCAGCCCGCCTCCTGTGCCTGCTCGTGACCTACTGAGGGCCGTGTCGTGCAGGACTGGCTCTGGCTGAGTACGACCAGCCCTACGGTGGGTTCTTTGACATCCTTCGGGGTGGGACAGAGCGGCTCTTCACCAACCTCAAGGACACATCCTCCAAGGTCATCCAGTCTGTAGCTAGGTAAGTGCGGGGGCAGCATGTGGGAGGTGCTAGGCTACACCCAGACTTGCCTTCATCTGTGTAACATTGCCTTCCTCCGGTTAAAGCTTTGGTGCCCACTGCTCAATGTTTCCTGTTGTGATTAAATGCTTCTTTTAATTCTAGCTACGCAAAGGGTGATCTGGACATATCTTACGTCACGTCCAGAATTGCAGGTACGCCCAGTGGGTCTGGCTGTCCGAGGGGCCTGGCCCTTTCTGTGTGTTGCAGCCCTGGGTGCTAAGCCTCTGTCGGGTACCTGGGTCAGGGTTTGGTGAAAACAACTGAGATGCCTCCTCTCCAGACCCCTTGGCCTCCGTGACCTGCCCTGACATATGGCTGGGGGCACCATACCAGAGAGTAGGAGGGCAGCCTGTGCTCAGCACATGTCCTGGTCCATGCGGGGTAGTCAGCCCAGCTTCTTGCACAACTGGACATCTGAGGTGATGCTGGGTACATCTGCATCTGCAGCTGGGTGAAAAGTCCATTGTGGCGCGTGGAGAACCTGATGGACATTGGGCTGCCTGCGGTTGGCTCTGTGGCACCTCTTGTGTGGCAGTCCCTGCCAGGCTGGGCGTCCGTGGGAGGGTGATGAGTAGGCGACCAGTGCTGGGGAGGCCGCAGGAGGCTGCCAGACAGAATGCCGTGGCTGACGGGGCCTGCTCTGTTCCAGTGATGTCCTTCCCAGCAGAAGGTGTGGAGTCAGCCATCAAAAATAACATAGAAGACGTGAGGCAGTTTCTGGATGCCAAGCACCCAGGGCACTATGCTGTGTACAACCTGTCTCCAAGGACCTACCGGGCCTCCAAGTTCCACAACCGGGTTAGTCTTTTTATTCTTTTCTGATTTCAGCGCCATTCCAGGAGCTGGATTTGCCTCTCACTTCGGCACTGGCCAGATCTCCAGCTCTCTCTCGGGGCATCCATGAACTGGGGCAGCCAGAGTGAGCTGGAGAGGAGGTCTCTCCACACGGACTGTGGGGCCGCCTCATGCCTGCTTCCCCCTTCCCTGCCCCAATGGTTCCTAGCTCCAGTGGGCCATGTGGCCACAGGCCATCGACCTCTTAAACTTGAGGCATATGGCCTTTCACACTCTCGGAACTGACCCAGCACTTAGCAAAGGGTGGTTCTTTGTGCATCGTCGTGAGTTTGTCCTGTTGCATGGGATCTAGCCAAGATGGACTGTGTGAGGACTCCAGCCAAGGAAGGGGTCCCACCCATCACCACATCTGCGGAGGCCCCAAGAGGACAGCGCTGTGTGTCGCAGGCAGGAGGCCGAGCCACGGGCTGGCACAAAGCACAGCTGAGCAGGACCCTCTCTCCGCAGGTCTCCGAGTGTGGCTGGGCAGCCAGGCGGGCACCACACCTGTATAGCTTATACACCCTCTGCAGGAGTATGCATGCCTGGCTCCGCGAAGACCCCAGGAACGTCTGTGTCGTGCACTGTGTGGTGAGTGGGAGGGACTATGCTCCGGGGGCGCTGGAGCACCTGAGCGCAACTGAGCCTGGCAGGCACAGGTCACCCGTGGATCCTGCCCGTCAGGGTCCCAGCCGGCGTGCTCAGAGCCGGTGTGGAAGGCACATAGCTGAGTGGGGACCCCGTTCCAGTGCCTCCTGAGCCCAACGAGCTCTTACCTTGAGCTTCCCCATCTGGAGAGGGAGCCTCGCATGGCACATGGTGTCCAGCAACACACTTGGGGCTCAGCCTTGCTGTCCTGAAGGTATTAGTAAGGATTATATCGGGGGGCTGGTAGGAGGTTTGAAGAAGAGAGTAAGTGTATGACAAGATGAGCTAGCTGAGCCTGAGGTCGGGTGGGGACGGGGCTGAGGAGAAGCTGGCTAGCCAGTGAGCTTTGTTGAGGATCCTGGTTTTCTGCGAGGCTCTGAATTCTCCCTGCATTGAGCACATGTGTGTCATTTCCTCAGCCCACGACATAGACATTTGCAAAGTCTGCAGGAGCTCTTGCCAGCCCTTGTCCTGGGTGTGCGTGGGGCAGCGTACAAAGGGGCCTGTGTCCTTTCGCTCTAGGATGGGAGGGCGGCCTCTGCCGTGGCCGTCTGTGCCTTCCTGTGCTTCTGCCGTCTCTTCAGCACCGCTGAAGCTGCTGTGTACATGTTCAGCATGAAGCGCTGCCCACCCGGCATTTGGCCATCTCACAAAAGGTATCAACTGATCCTCACTAGCGACAGCAACGCCTCAGGCTCTGGGCCAGGAGGTGAACCCTTGCTGCCTTGGATGCAGCATTGCGCTCACCAGGCCTCGGCTCGGGGCCGGGCTTCCCCGTCTCCTCACAGACCTGATTGGCACCGCCACGGGTGCTTGTAGGGATCCAGCAAAGGTGGACTGCAGCTGATTTCTAGCTGGGACCCACAACTGTGGTGGTCCATGGCTGCAGGGTCAGCACTTGTTCAGCACAAGGCTTGCCAACAGGTATGGGAGCCTGGTGTGGCTGTGTGCTTGTTAGGGCTCATCTCTGTATCCCAAGGAAACCCCTGTGTGGGCTTTCAAGATGACATGAGAATGAACTGGATCCTACATGCTCTGTGGATGTGGAGTGACTCCCTGCTCGCTAAGGCTACATAGATGTGGGCACTGCTCAGACTCTCAGGCCTCATGTTGCTCCCATTGGCAAGAACCTAGTCCTTATTAAGACCAAGCCTGAAGAAAGGGTGCTTAGCTAGTGTGTCATCACATCCATACCCCCAAAAGGTCACTGTTGCTGTAGGACATAGACTGAAGTAGACAGGAGCAGACGTGGCTGGTGAATGCAGCAGATCTGAAGTGGACAGGAGCAGACGTGGCTGGTGAATGTAGTGAGTCTGAAGTGGACAGGAGCAGACGTGGCTGGTGAATGCAGCAGATCTGAAGTGGACAGGAGCAGACGTGGCTGGTGAATGCAGCAGATCTGAAGTGGACAGGAGCAGACGTGGCCGGTAAATGCAGCAGATCTGAAGTGGACAGGAGCAGACGTGGCCGGTGAATGCAGCAGATCTGAAGTGGACAGGAGCAGACGTGGCCGGTAAATGCAGCAGATCTGAAGTGAACAGGAGCAGACGTGGCCGGTGAATGTAGCAGATCTGAAGTGGACAGGAGCAGATGTGGCTGGTGAATGTAGCAGATCTGAAGTGGACAGGAGCAGACGTGGCTGGTGAATGTAGTGAGTCTGAAGTGGACAGAATCAGATGTGGCTGGTGAATGTAGTGAGTCTGAAGTGGACAGGAGCAGACATGGCTAGTGAATGCAGCAGATCTGAAGTGGACAGGAGCAGACGTGGCTGGTGAATGTAGCAGATCTGAAGTGAACAGGAGCAGACGTGGCTGGTGAATGCAGCAGATCTGAAGTGGACAGGAGCAGACGTGGCTGGTGAATGCAGCAGATCTGAAGTGGACAGGAGCAGACGTGGCTGGTGAATGCAGTAGCCTTGACACACACAGCAGATCTCTGAGAATGGGTAGAGCACACAACCAGAAGCTGATGCAGATTCTAGAAAGAGTCTGGGGTCCAATCTAGTGTGTGGCGGCTCTGTACTGTGTCTTCCTACCTGGCAAATGACACAGCTTGTGAGCAGTGGAGGTGGCAGGTGACTTCCACAGCTGTGGGTCCCAGGGAACAGGGCCCTGTTACTTGCTCGCCGCCTCTGCAGGAGTGTCTTGATTGTGATCTATGCATCGGGCTACCCTCAGATGGTGGCCTCCTGGCTGTGTCCTCCTTATGGCCCGCACAGGGTGGCAGGCAGAGCGTTTCAGCACACCCAGCGCACGGACGGTCATGCTCCTGTGTCCCACACGTGAAACCTGAGTGAGAGAAACGAGGACGGGAGGGCCTCCAGGCACCGCCCCAGCGCCGCCCCCCTGGAGCGGCAAAGGCGGACTGGTGTGTCTGAGCCAGCTTCATCCCCCTGCCTTTTGCAAACCCTCTTTAGTCTGAGGCCTTCAGACCATCATGAGAGGGTTAATGAACATAGACACTTACCGTCAGGGAAGATGGGGCTACCATGAGAGAGACACTCGTGGGTGTGTGGGTGCAAGTAACATAGCAGAAAGTAGGGTGGGGGAGAGAGAGGCATGTTCCCTGCGTGGCCAAGCAGGTTCACGTCTGTAGGCCAGCTGCTCGGGAGAGGGAGGTAGGAAGATCGTGAATTGGGGCCAAGCTAGGCGTAAGTTAATAAGACTGTCTCAAAAAGAAGAGTATGAGGGCTGGGAAGGTGGCTCAGTGGTAGAGCGCTTGCCTTGCATGCCTGAGGCCCTGGGTTCGATTCCTCAGCACCACATAAGCAAAAAGTAAAAAGCCGAAAGTGATGCTGTGGGCTCAAGTGGTAGAGCGCTAGCCTTGAGCTGAAGAGCTGAGGGACAGCGCCCAGGCCCAGAATTAGGTCCCGCGACCAGACCAAAAAAAAAAAAAAAATGAAGAGTATGAGGTGGTGCAGCACTGTAACCCTGGCTTCTCAGGAGGTGGGGGGGTAGGAAGATCGGGGTCTGGACCATCCTTGCAAGACCCTACTTGCCATACAAAAAGCAGAAGGACTGGGGTTGTGACTCAAATGGTAGAGTATGTGCCCAGAAAGTGTGCCCTGAGTTAATAATAATAATGGCAATTGTAAATGGCCGACCAGTCTACTGAAGACTTTGCTAGGAGCAAAGAAGGGGGAACAAAGTGCAAATGGAGGTTGTCATACTCATGTGCAGTGACAGTTGCTGACCTCTAAGAGAGATCAGAGCTGTTGAGTGAACAACCAGGAAGACGAGAGACCCAGAGCACTGCAAAGGGCCAAAGATGCACATGGGTGTACGCTAGGCAATAAAGAGTACATGAAGACATGAGCCGGTGTGTCCAGAGTCCACAGCAGAGACCAGGCCATGGCCAGGAAGCCTGGACCCCAGGTGGCACAAAAACACCACCTCTGAATTCTCAGGTGACGCTCGACCTTTGACCCTCCAGGGCAGCATGTTCCTCCTTTGGTTTGGCTTTTTAATCCAGGCTCTCTTAGGCAGCCTCTATTTGCTTGTGGCTGAGGACTTTGGGTCACTTGGTGCTAGATGTCAGCTGGACAGACCTAAGTCTTTGTGGCTGCCCTGGTTTGTTGTGGGCCACTGAAGAGAGAAGAGCACTCGTGTTGATCAAGGCAGGTCTCTGCTTCTACTTTTGATCACAGGTTCGAAAGATGGGCACAAAGATGTCTTTTTAGAGCACTCTCCAAGAGAAAGTCACAGAGCTCTACTGTCACTAGACAAAACAGAGCAGAGCCAGACCCTTGCACAAAGGATATGGAGTTAGGAAGACTGCAGACCAACCTGGACTAGAGAGGAAGAGTGAGAGAGAGAGTGTGTGTGTGTGTGGTCCTGGGGCTTTAAACTCAGGGCCTGGGCACTGTCCCTGAGCTTGTTTTGATCAAGGCTGGTGCTCTACCATTGAACCAGAGCCTCCCTTGCAGCTTTTTCTGAGTAGCTTGGAGTTAATTGTCTCACAGCCTTGGCTGTCCAGGCTTGGAACTATGATCCTCAGATCTCAGCCTCCTCCCTAGCTGGGATTATAGGCCTGAGCCACCAGTGCCTGGCTACGTCAAGTGGTGACAGGTGCCGGTCTGCCTCCAGGTACATTGAGTACGTGTGTGACATGGTGGCGGAGGAGCCCATCACACCACACAGCAAGCCGATGCTGGTGAGAGCGGTCACCATGACCCCTGTGCCGCTGTTCAGCAAGCAGAGGAACGGCTGCCGGCCATTCTGTGAGGTCTATGTGGGCGATGAGCGTGTGACCACTACATCCCAGGAGTATGACCGGATGAAGTAAGTACATGTGTGGGTTGTTTCCGCCTCAGATCGCAGAAGGGGAGGCCACCTGCCCCCTAATGCGCAGGAGCACCTGTGCAGTGCATTGGGCTGGGCCGTGGTGCAGGAGCCCCCGCGGCTGTGCAGAGGGAACCCCCACAGCTGGGCCGTGGTGTGGGAGCCCCCACAGCTGGGTCGTGGTGTGGGAGCCCCTGCAGCTGTGCAGAGGGAACCCCCACAGCTGGGCCGTGGTGTGGGAGCCCCTGCAGCTGTGCAGAGGGAGCCCCCACAGCTGGGCC